AGAACCTTACCACTACACCACGAGGAGTTGCCTTGCCATCAAAGCTTCAGCCCGTCCCCATTCCAAGTCGATTCCATCTAGCGGTCGACTCCAATGACGCATTCATCAATTTTAACATGCTGTTTGTTCAGAATATGAATTTTCTCAATTATAAATTAATATTGTTATTGTGCATATTTAGGCATTGGTTAGGTGTTTAGGCTCTGTTCCCGATTATTAGTCTCCGTGGTGTAGTGGTAAGACACTCGCCTGGCCTTCCGCGAGCGCTATGTCATGGGTTCGTATCCTGGCCGGGGAGGATTTACTGGGCGCAATTCCTTAACTGTAGCCTCTGTTTAACGCAACAGTAAAATGTGTACTTGGATGAAAAAAACGATTCTTCGCGGCAGGGGATCGTATTCCAGGGACCTGCCCGAAACGCTACGCGTACTAGTGGCTGTACAAGAATGTAACAACTCTTGTATATATCTCAAAAAAAAAATGTATTTGTAGTACGTGGGTGAAGCATTGTGGTTCGAACAAAAGTCGGCTTCTCATCCCGTCCTCCAAACAAAGACCCAAAAGTTATTCCATGCATCTGCCAAACCCCCTGTTTATGAATGAAAAACGGTTTACACACGATTCACAACTGATGACGTTCGAACACTTCTGGAACAAGTGCTTCACTGACGAATTTTGTTCGAACCCCAACTCTGTAAATGCCAGCCCGTCCTCCAAACAAAGATACAAAAGTGATTCCATGCACCCGCCAAACCCCCTGTTTATGAATGAAAAGCGGTTTACACACGACTCACAACTGCTGACGTTCGAACATATCCGGAACAAGTGTTTCACTGACGAATTTTGTTCGAATCACAACGCTATAAATGCTTCACCCACGTACTACAAATACAAATAATCGCCAACAGAACCTAAACACCTGACCTAACCTAATCTATGCCTATATATGTACAATATGCTAATATATTATAATATTAATTTATATTTGCGAAAATTCCCGTTTTGAATGAACAGCATGTTAACATTTATGAATGCGTCTGTGGGATCGACCGCTGGATGTAATGGACTTGGTCTGAGGACGGGTTGCCATGGTTATGTTCAATTCCTTTGAAGAAATTCTTTGGCTAACTCATGAGTTTTATATCATGCTTTCAGAGGGTAACATGACATGGATTTCCATGAAATAGACTGTTACTGTACCATCATTAACAATTGTGTTATATTTGCGTCTGGACCTCAGACACAAGTATGCTACATTTGTTTTTTTAAGAGTCGAGAGCAACTATAATGATGATAAAGAATGAGTTAATGCATACTATTTAAGATATATACACACATTTGATTGCAAGGAGTTCAACATACAAATAATTCGGTTTGATGGGCAGAAGCCCAGATGTTCATAAGGACGTCCAACTAAAAATATGCACCATAGCTCATTTGTTACAAATGCACTTCCAGGATCATTGTCCAGCATGATGATATATACAAGTCAGCTAAAGGTAAGGAAATTATCAGGAAAAAGTGCTAAGCCATAACGCCTATGTAGCACACGAAAGGGATGAGTACTGTATAAGGATTTGGGACAGGACGGAGGGAAGGAATGGTGCCCATTCACTGGGACTGTCGGAGATTGAACCCCAATCTGCAAGAAGCGAGACTCGCTCTATGTCCAGTCCAAGTGCTTGGACACTAGGCGGCTAAAACTGCATGTTATAAGTCTGAAATTGAGTTAGATCTAGGCATTCCAATCTTTGTTGTAAAAACAGCAATATTTCAGGAAATTAGGGATGGCAGAAGTCACTGACTTGATATTTGAGTCACTGAATTAAAGGGCAGAAAGTAAGGGTATGGAGTCATTATATTTTTAGGATCAAGAACTACATGTACAGATAGCACAAAACATCCACTAGACAGTGTGACATTGTAAATCCCAGAATCAGGCAGAGATGTCAATATCTAGGACAGGTCACTGCATATAATGAATCTCCAATTTTAAAGTATGTGAACAAGAGCTAGGACACTCTCCAGCACTATATATGTGATTGCCCCATTATCAATGAGTTCAGACCAAATGGTATATGATATATACAAAAATCACAATAGTGTGATATATAAAATTTAACTAAGGCATAGGTTCGAACCCTCATCACAGCCCTTGTAGATTTGGCATGAGATACCTTGAGCTCTGTAACTACTTTGTACACTCATGAATATTGGAAGATATTCTTGTGCTCTACACACAGTTGCTAGTACAAGCTGACAGATTAGATCTGCATTTCATATTTTCTCTTGATTCCATGTATGACTAACCATCCTGTGAGATGGGGATATTAGATGAAATCATATCTAGCTTTTTCACTCTGTGATTCTTCAAATAGAATAGGGTAGCAGCACATTGCTATGTAAACCTAAACCTGTTAATAAGAAAACAAACCAGTGGGGTGATGTAGGGAACCATCATGCAGTGTGCATGCTAAAAAATCTCAGGAACAATGGGGAGACCTTTAACAAACCGCCAGCTTGCTACCCTTATCGAGGCCACTGCGATGGTGGACCTTGGGTAAATATGGTTTGAGTGTGTGTGATCTGTCAGCAACCGGTCTTAAGGACATTATATTTTGCCTAAAGATGAAACTTAGGTCGCTCTAATATTTTCTTGGGTGGGAAGGAAAGGGATTACAGTGAATAGGAGAGACTTTTTCCATTTTATGCCCTTGAACTAACACTACCTTTACCTTCTATAGTTTGATATGCCATTATATTACTCTTGAGGTATTGCTAGGCACTGTTCTTTTATGCTAGTGTTAATAGGTTCATTCATTTCATTAAGTATTCTAACAAAAACATCTTTCATAGAACTTCTGCTCATGTGCTCAAGCTTGCAATGACTACTTCTATATTGTATGCATTATTTCATATTCTGATTACATGTCCCATCTTCTTTGTTAATGTTATGAATTAACTATTCAGTCTTAAAACAAAAATTTTTGGTCCACATTTTTGTTTCGTCTTACAAATTCGTGTTTTCCTTTCATATTTACAGTATATAGTTGCACATGTTATTCTATAACTTTATAAAATTCTACTATCAGAGTATCAAACACTTGGCAGACTTGAACCATCTGTGAAGAGAGCAACAAAATGCGAGTGTGAAGAAAAATGTTCAAGGAAAAAGCGTTTTGAAATATGAGGGGTAGATGCATGGGTCAAAGACTTGCAAAACTTCACAAGTGGGACCCGCCAAGGAGGTAAGGATGGAATGACAGTATTGTACAACAAATATTCTATCAATATGAGGTGCACAATATTTTTGTGGGAATTAAAATTGAGAAAAAAAAGAAGTGCTGATGTTCTCAATGGCTAGACATCTCATTCTCCAGGCAGAGAGAGGAGTGTCTTCACCGAACTCGTCTAGTTATCTTGGCTATCTGCAGGTTATCTGAATTAATGGCTATACTTCTCATTAATAAACTTTAAAAGTAATTAATAGTATAGTAGTATGAAGTTCGTTTTAGAGAATATAATACAGTACATCACTATGTGAGCCAGAACAGAAGATGTGGAGGCCAGCTACTAAAGGAGGCAACCTCATATCAAGGAATCACCAGCTGTAGTGTGGATCTACTACTTGACAGTGCTTAACTTGTGTCCCATCACTGTTTCCACCACCTGTGTCACAGACACACATGAACAAATGTATCAGTTTCAGGAAGAGCCTTTTTTTTTTTAATATTTATGTAATATGTACTTTTGCAAATTATGCCATAGTACAGCTAAACCTTTTTTACTAGTGGCCATGAGTATTAAAGCTCTATAATAGTAAATATCAGGGCATTATTATTAGTCTAGGCTAGTTATTTACCTCTCAATGTTCATATATGTAAAATATTTATGAAAAAACATTACCACAAAAAATTAATGATGAAACGAATAATGTTCAATAAAACTTTAGGTCAGTTTCATTACATCTTAGACCAAGAGGCTTTGTCATGGTGATGAAGGAATACAAAGATATTCTCTTCCCCTTGATGGCATGCAGGATATTTGTTATCCATCCTCATAAATATTGCTTTGTAAAAAAATAACCCTTTACCCTTCAGTCAAGTTTCACTAGCCAAATGTTCCTGTTTACTCAAGTAATCAATGACATTCCTCAATAGTTTCCCATAATAACTATCTTGCTATGTCAATTTATAGTACTTATTTAAATATAAATATCATATTTTGTATCATCATTTTACACACTAGTCCAGACATTTACATTCCAGTATGACATACATACCTCATTACTGATTAATGGAACAAAGATATACTTGACTTGGGCGATGTAATTGACAGACTAACAAACTGACAGTCTGCATTAAGAAAGAATTTGACAATTGGAAAATTGCACATCATAAAACTGTAAAAGAACACAGATAAGGTAATACCCAATACTCATACTACTTGGTGCATTTGACACAGGACTACTAGTATTGTCAAGTTAGATGACCACTCGAAACTATGAAACCCCAGTCAAGACTGGAATGAAACAAGATCAGCGAGAATGAATAGATGTGCACACTACCGTTAGATCTGTATTGGTCCTGCTGCACCTACCACAGAATTACATAGGTCTGATATGCTTCAGTCATCCTACTATACCTCAGACTATATCTTTGAGTGATGAAGTTTGCGATAGAATAATTATTAGATATGTAGTTTGAGAATTTTCTGAACACTATTGCAAGGAACAATGAGTCCAAAATACAATAGTTAATGAAACACTAGTTTGTGGTACCAGGAGAAAACAAGAACTGACATGGAGAAGGATGCCCACCTAAGCGTGACGATGAGGTGAAGAACTCCTCAGTGTTGCTTGTGTAAGCTACTTAATCATAACTAGAGCTTAACCATGCACACTTGGGAAACATTTCCTGCTAAGCCATGTCTACATAACATACCAAAGAAAGTTTTAACTGGTTAGGTATTTCTAATTTTTAAGTGTAGGATAAAACTTATAGTGGTACTGTTTTTATTTCATTTGATCATTAAAGCTTAATATCCAAGCAAGAATGATTTTTTTAAACATTAAAATATGCAACATTAAATGTTTTTCTTAGATGGTTTTTAACACATTATGTACAGAGATGTTTTGATGAAGTTCCTCTTAGTTTTACAAATCTTTGACAATATATGTTTCACACTTCCAAAGATGTCTATGGCTTCCTTATCACTGTCCTGTGGAGGTGAACACATGTTCAATCAACTCACATACTGTACTAGTTTCATATATTCATGTGGTGCAACTAGGGTAAATTTATACAGCAACCAATAAGCTCTACCTTGTTGTTAGAAAGCAATTTCTAATTCATTGAAATAAATATGTCTTAGAATCAGCAAACTATGTAGGGAAATGGTGAATCCAATTGTCTATAATAGTCCAACCAACAATTTTAATGATATAGATTTACCGTTTGAAATATCTTCATGCAAAATAAGCCTATCCATTGCAAATAGGTTTCACACAGCCAAAGCAAGAGCAGAAAAATTATTACAAAAAATTGTTTTAGGCAACTTTATTTTGTTAAAAGTACTGTAAATTTCTTTTATAAATAGGAAAAACATTCTGTAAGTAGAATGAAGTATTATTTTACCTTAAATAATACAAAATATAGAAATGTTGTGACTATCAGTAATATTTTTGAACAAGGCATAATTAAATTAAATTTGACACTTAAAATTTTTGAAAATATTACAGGTTTACCCATTATAATTAAATTTTATCAAAATCCATTTAACAATATTCATACATTTGTTATATAAAACAATTATTCCCATAGATAACAAACACTACTTAGGAAGGTCAAGTAGGAGAAACGCAATCATGTGATTTACACTAATATGCATATTTGTACCTAAATTAACTCTCTTCTCTAACAATGGTAAAGGACAAGTGATTCTGAAATGAAAAATCTTTCACCAAACATCACCACCTGACTTCATTCTTGAACTCATCATTGACCGAGAACCTCTTGACAGACTCGTAACCAAGGATGATTGTGAAGGAGAAGATCATTGACTGGAACAGCCGAGGAGAGAGGCCCTTAGTGAAGATTCCTAACTGTTCTTCTGACCAGAGAATTCTAAAAGTATTTCCAAAGCCTCCTGTTCTCTGCACCTTTAACAAAGAATGAAGATGTTTTAAAATCTCATCACAAACATTTAAAAATGTTAGTTGTGTGTGGTTCATGGAACTATGCAACCTTAAGAGGCAACATATTCTGTATGTAAGGAATATTGAGCATTTTAATTAATTACATATTTTATAAAAATTACTGGTTAAAAGTTAAAATACCTTAGAGAAAAATTGTGTAACAGACATTTATGGCAGAATCGAGTGTGACTGGTGCAATGAAAGCTGGCGAGGAAAATCTACTAAAGAATGTAGCTCAAAATGTGCAGAATATTTTGACATTACACCCTTATTATTATATGTTACTCATTACTAAATTAAAAAGACTTATTATGGGTAAATACTGGTTTTGAAAAAGGGTCGCTAATTTACGGAACAAATTACTGGGTAACATAATAAGATGCTATACAGTATATAGCAACTTATTATGTTGGCAAAAATTTGGCAAAGTCTCAACTAAAAAGTGGCAAACGCCCAACAAAAAAATCAGTGTTGAATGTAATGAAACGTCATTTTTTGGGTGGAGCCCCGGAGGCTCCCCTTGAGCTATTGGAATGATATTAGCTAATATTAGTACAGGGCTTCAGTCATATGGAGTTGTCATGCCTACCTGGGACCATTAGCCAGAAAATGGTCCCCTCAGAGAGGCACAGGGAGAAATGGCATATTAAATTCCATTTTATGAAAGTGTTCATGTCTGCCATTGACCAGGGTTATACACCCAGAAACGTAGGTGTCCCATAACACACCCCCAACTGTTAGGGAAATTGCAACCAGACACCGAACAAAGGCTAGAAACTCCCCCAAAACAAACAAGAAAACAAGCAACACGTCATCACGCTGCTCGTTCGTGCTGACCCCCCAACCCTCACTGGAGGTGGGGGGGAGGGAGGGTCCTGGCCCACCGAGCCGGCCGCTTGACCATTATTTCAGAGACTGACTAAACGGAACAAAAACCGCCGACTGGAGGGAGGGAGATTGCCAGGAAGCCTCCGGGGCTTCACCCAGAAAATGGCGTTTCATTACATCCAACGCTGGTTTTCTGTGGGGAGCCCTGTCGGCTCCCTAGAGCTAGCTACCCAAAAAGATGGAAAATAGGGACTTAACCAAGAGGCGGCTGCTCAGCACCACTCATGACGAGGACGAAACAACTGGCTGCAATCACCGACCCAAGGCGACAAGACCGCTGAGGACATTGACAAAATAACGGGCAGCCAGGACCCTGTATGATCTCCAAAACCCCCCATGCCTGAATAAACACACGGAAATCACAATAGCACGATGCATCAAATGAACAAGTCCACAAGGGCCGTGATGAGGGTTCGAACTTACGCCCAGGATGATCGCAGACGCTGCCTTAGTCGACTAGGCCACGACATGGTCAAAAGAATTGCAACCGAGAATTCCACTGACTTCACACACATCCTGCAGCTTCTCTGAGACACAAACCAGGGTTTTAAACAATTTCCCCATGCACTCGAGCCCTCTCTGAGGGCGAAGAGGTAGAACAGCTTACTGGCAGAGCCCTAGTGCATGGGGGAATTGTGTAAAACACTAGTTTGAGTCTCGGAGAGGCTGCAGGATCCATGTGAAGTCAGTGGAATTCCCGGTTGCAATTCTACTGACCATGTCGTGGCCTAGTCGACTAAGGCAGTGTCTGGGATCTTCCCGGGCATAAGTTCGAACCCTCATCATGGCCCTTGTGGATTTGTTCCCCTTGCCTGAATGTCAGCTCAAGACATATTACCAAACACAGCAGCCAAAGCTTTGAATTTCCGAACATCGTGGTGCGTGAGGGTAGATTGCAGGCTAGTTTGCCTAGGTTAGGACACTAAGCAAGCAGCGCCTGAAACCAAGGCTGGGCCGGCCACCATGTGGCCAGAAGGAGAACCCTTCCACGATAGCACTCGAGCTGAGCCAGAACCCGAAGCAACAACTGAATCGGGGAAAAGAGGTACAGGTAACCCCCATCTTGACCAGTCCTATTGAAAAAAAAAGTCTACTGTGACGGCTTTGCAATCGGGTAAGGGCACCACATAGACTGGGAGACGCTTTGACCACGCTGACGCGGAGAGGTCAACCTCTGGGGTCCCGTATGTCTGGTAAAGCCAACTGAAGGAGTCGGTGTCGACCGTCCATTCTGTGGACAGAGGAACGAACCGCAACAGTTCGTTTGGCTGTAAGTTGGACAAGGCCCTGATATGAACTGCACAGAGAGCTAAACCCCAAGAATTCAACAGAAGAGCCACCCAAAGCAACCAGCCCTAAAGATCACCACAGGACCACAGAGACCCCCAGTGGTTCAGGCAACAAACCACTGCAGCCCAGTCCAAATGGAGTCGGATTGTAAAGCCTTGAGAGAGTCGAGCCCGACGCAGCACAAGCCACACTGCAGCCAACTTCCGCACCGCCGTGCTGTGAGCCCGACGGAAGGACGGAGCCTACCGCCCTTGGCTGGCCTGGTGAGCACTGATCACAAAGCCCCAGCCCAGAGAGGAGGCATCTGTGAACACATTGAGGAAGGGCTCAGGAAGGTGCCAAGGCACAGAACCACAAAAAGCCTGAAGAGGAAGACGGTGATGCAGCAACCGATGCAAGGCTCCCGGGGGGGAGGGGGCAACCCAGCGATCACAAGAGCAGCAGAAGGGGCAGCCCCGAAGGAACCAGAACAGACATTGTAGCCAAATCCGACCCAGCGGGTAACAATCATGGTGAAGTTCAAACTCACGCACAGCTGCTCGAGCATCTGCCGGGTGACCTGGAACCCCCTCAGAAACAGCCGACAGCAGGACTGCAGCCGGAGCAAAGCCGCCCGAGGGAGAAATAAGGATGCTGTCTGGGAATCCCAGACAATGCCAAGCCAAGTCAGAACCTGAGATGGAACCAGACAGGACTTCCTCCAGTTCACCAGGAACCCGAACCCAGTGAGCTAAAAAAGAACCAATCACCCGGCCAGCAGACAAGTGGACCGGCTGGGACCCCACACCAGCCAGTTGTTGAGGTAGGCAACACCCTGAACACCTAGCAGATGCAGACAGGCTACTACAACCCGGGTAAGACGCGTGAAAATGCGAGGTGCCAAATTCAGCCTGAAAGGAAGGTAACGAAAGCAGTAAGCATGCTGCCCCATGACAAACCTTAACCAATCCCTGAACCCCGAATGAATGGGAACATGCCAATATGCATCCCGGAGGTCCAGACACACCATCCACAAAACTGGCTTCAAGAGAAGCTGGACCTGGGACAGAGTGGTCATCCAAAAGGAGGGGGCAAGGAACCCAGGGGTTCAGATGGGGCAAGTCCAGAATGAACTGCAGATCCACACAGTCCCATCTCGGCACTGGAAACAAGTGGGAAACCCACCTGAGGGACAAGGTCATTTCGCCCACGCCCACGTGCACCCACCCCAACATGACCTGACAAAGTGAAGGGGAAGAAACCTGCCTCGCCAACCCTGAACCCTCTGAAGGAGGAGGGGCCGCCCAATGCTACCGCAGGCTGGAAGAGACGACTAGAAAAGCCCACGAATCATTGATAAATTGGAGTATGAGCAGAGAACAAGTCTCGCAAGACTCTGGGTTGAAGGTGCATCGACCCAACAAGCAGCATGACGGAGGCAACACAGGTGATTGTCACCCTGAGACAGGGGCAAAGAACACCCTTCAAGCTCGCACAAAGCAAGTTGGAACTCGGAAAGCTCATCCATCGTGGTCAACAAAGTCCCAACAGGGTTTTCCACGGGCCGCAGAGGCATGTGTCCCTATGGGAAAGCCCAGGTGCTGGACAGCAATTGAACCTAGGTAGCACCTAATATAGACTGTGGCAGCCTCCCAACAGGCAAGAAAGCAAACTAAAGATTGAAAGAGAACTCTGAGGAAGCACCACAACCCAGGGGACCAGAAATAGTCACGGTCATGGCCACTGTGATTATACAAACTAGGCAGCCCAGAATGCCCCAACCAGCAGCTAACCACTCCCTACCCAGGGCCAAATAAAGATACCGAAACCTAAGCTGACCCCAAGGGCGAGGTAGCGAACCAAGCAGTCACTACCCTTATGGAAATGGGGACCCAAAGAATCCAGAGAAAAGAACTCTGAACTCCAATGGGTGTACTCACAGGGCACTTAGGAAAGGGAGTCCTAAGCCCATGCAGTGCTTGGTACAAATCCTGGCCACTGCCAACACACTGAAGGAACACCAGCAGGGTGAAGCCAATCAGGTAATAGAGGCCAGAGCAGGCATCCACCCCATATAGCTTCAGCTGACAAACTGACAGTCCGGCTGGGTGGACTGGTAACCCCTCTCCCCTTCCCGGGGCAGGGAGGCAGGGGTTCGAGGGGGAAGGGGGAAAGCTGCACAAAAGAATGCCGCATGGTGTGATATGTTGCTTGTTTTTCTTTGGGGGAGTTTCTCGCCTCTGTTCGGTCTCGGACTGCAATATTTCTACCAAGAAGGGCCTGTTTTGAAAAGCCTACTTTTCTGGGTGCTCAAACCCCGGTCGATGGCAGACATGAATACTTTTATACATATGAGTTTCATAAGCCATCGCTCCCTGCGCCTCTCTGAGGGGGACCATGTTCTGCCTAGTGGTCCCCGGTAGGCAAGACGACTCCATATGACTGAAGCCCAATATTAATATTAGCTAATATCCGTCCAATAGCTTCAGGGAGCTTATGGGCTCCCCACAGAAATAGCACAAATCAATGGAAAAATTCTTTAGTACTCTTTGGGCAGATAAAAGCATGCAAGTTATAAAACCAATAAGCTTATATATAAAAAAACAACTATTGTATCCTAAGTTTTTCACTCACAAATTTCAACTATATTTGTTGAGCTAACAATTTTATGTAACTATTTTTTTTGCTTTGTGTTTCATTAATAGCCAAGTTCTTACAATACACTTCGTAAAGTGGTCATTCTAAGTCTTAATTTTGTTTTATTTTTGCTTGTGCACTGCCAACCACAGTAGTTCAAAAACAAATTGAAGACATGAGTATTATTCAAGATAACACCGAACTTATAAAGTTTATCTTCAAGTCACATGAACTAACCTGTAATCTGGCCCTCACTATGTCCAGAGGATTTGTTATTAGAGACGTTGAAACTCCCCCAAGTGGAGCTGCAATACACTGCACCAACAAAGTTGACGTCCCATCAGGAAATGTGCGGACTAATTGCTCTGTAAATGAATAAATTTTACAGATTATAAATAATTTTCAAAGATTTGTTGAAATCTTTGCTTGCTTCACGTATGAAGTTATTTTTATTTTTTAGATAAAGATATATTTCTTTGATAAGCTTGTCTACTTATAACCAATGTCTAAACCATAACTTATGTAAAGGGAGAAAGAGAAAAAGTACATCAGAATATTGGTGCTTGTAGATGTGTCCAAGAGATGCCTGCTTGTAGGCATCCTATGGACACATCTAGGGCCTCTTGTTTCTGAAGTTACATTCTACAAAATTCCCCCTAGTATATTAGGTTAATTCCATACCATAAATTTTACTGGTAAATGTGAAATTATTATAGATATAGTATTTTGCTAATGCTCACAGACAATTCTTGACACATCCAAGGCTCTCATGCGAAGGGGCGTGTGTGTGTGTGTGACTCACAAGTAGGACACACCACCTCTGCACTACTGGTCCACTTTTTTTATTATTATTACCACCAGAGGTACACACTATTATATTGTTTGTTTTACACCCTCCATATTTATGTTGCGTTTTTCTTCAAAATGCTCTAAACATTGACTGAAAGCTGTACATGAGCAGCAAATGTTAATGGGTCACACAGATTCCAGCTGGCCACTGCATGACACTACCTATGGAGCAACAGGAATTAGTGATGCTGCTAACTCAACACTTGTTCAGGGCCAGGAACACCACAAGATATCAGTAATTTCACCCATACAACACACTAAATATTATGAGTGTTTTCTACACTTTTAATTTGTCACATACTAACAACTTAGTAACTACTGTTAATTACCACTTTCACATTCAGATGCTAAAATGTGTTATCCGTACTCCGACGGTAAACATTCCAACGACGTTAAAAAGTCATCCAATTGCTATTTCATATCCATTTATATTTTTGTTACTGTCACACACAATCTATTAGACACCTATTTTTGCATCTATTCTCTAGAAAATTCAATTGCAAACATTTTGGACACCAAATGTGTTGTTATACAGTAACAAATAACTTATAAAAACGTAAAATGATTGTAACCATTTTTAACATTGAGTTGCCAGTAAGCGGCCTGGGAAACCAAGAACGTTTATGGTCGGGAATGCACGGAGAGGCCGGACTACCAATCTTTGAATATGTTTGAATTGAATTTAATTTTATACAAACAGCAATGTTCTTACCCTTTTTTTTGGTGGAGAGGGGGGGGGGGGGAAAGAGGAATTTCTGTACAATTATTCGGTTGTATTTTACCCCAATGTTTGACAATATTTCATTGAAACTAATCTATGTTTGAGGACACCCAACCAATAATCAGGTGAAGTTTGAAGAGAATCTATCAATTTGTCATTTACTGGTGCCACAATCATTTATTACAATTTATCCAAAAGGTCTATGGTATAGTACTTTTAAATATTTAAATTTTGTAATTTATGAATCAATTTTCATGAATTTTACACATGCTCTTTGTATATACAGTAGCTTTACAATTTGGAAACTGCAAATTTAAAATTATATTTTGTTAGAATTAGAAAAGTGCCATTTTCAAGCAAAATGATGGGTCTTGTTCAAATATTTATATTGCAGCAACTGAACATTTGTTTGTAATTCCTCTTTCAGAATGTTACTCCAAAATATTCCACTAGTTAAATGCAATATTTGTTAACCCTTAAACTGCGCAACACGTCATATGACGAGTTGAATAACTTGCCCAAAATTGCACATCACACCATATGACGTGTTGGAGTACTACCCAAGATTAAACGGCCTGCGGATATACGGGGTTCACCTCACCTTCATCAGGACTCTTGTAAACAGATGCCATTTAAAAAAAATATCGTGGGCAACATTCCCGGGTGTTAGGGCCTCAGTACTGAGTGAGCCACCAAGGCTGGCATGCAGCATGAGCTCACAGCACTGCTACCCAGCCACTTGGGCTGGACGGTAGAGCGACGGTCTCGCTTCATGCAGGTCGGCGTTCAATCCTCGACCGTCCAAGTGGTTGGGCACCATTCCTTCCCCCGTCCCATCCCAAATCCTTACCCTGACCCCTTCCAAGTGCTATATAGTCGTAATGACTTGGTGCTTTCCCTGATAGTTCCCTTCCCTTCCCTTCACAGCACTGCTGTTCAGCTTGTGACCAAAGCACTGCCTAAAATTTTCAAAATATATATGTACATGCTATTATTTAGCAATGATAGTATTACAGAAGACCCCTGACTGATAAAAATGTCCAGGATTCTGATAATAGGATTGTTGTGATAATTAGCGCTGTAGTAGAAGTAATCTCGGTGGCGAGGGAGGTAGCATTATCTGCTGACCCTGTGTGACCATTTTTTACTGTCTGGACTCATTATACCAGCTTAGTGGTTAGCTATGGTGAACAAAACATGCAGATACTTATATATATAATGTCAGCATATAGTGAATAAAAGCAAAATGCAGTATGGTGGGAAGAGAATGTTGGCGAGTCAGGTGAGGTAAGGGAGGGAGTCACAGCTAGTGGCGGGCTAGCTGGTGTGTGGTGTCCTTGCTGCTGTTTGACTCGGCATACCAACCTTAGTGGTTCCTTATGGTGAACACAAATGTAAATACTTATATATAACATGTATATATAGTGTAATGACAGCAAAAGGAGTGTTGGGAGAAGCCATTTTGGTGAGGGAGGTGGCGACATCTGCATGACTTGTCATGCTGTGTAAGGGTGGCTACTATGCTCTTTGGGCACTATTCTGGCTTAGTTGAATAGTTATGGTGAACAAAACATGTAGATAATTATATATAGTGTGTGTATATAGGGTAATAACACCACAAACAGTATACTTGAAGGAGGAATGTTAGTGCATCTGGCCTTGAACTAGTGAGGGTGGGAGGGGAGGGAGCAGAAGTTGTGTGGCCAACTGTTACTGTCTGCCGTCACCATACAAGATCAGTGGTTCGCTATGGTGAACACAAATGTAGATACTTATATATAACGTGTATATATAGTGTAATACAGTACCAGCAAAAGGAGTGTAGGGAGAAGCCATTTTGGTGAAGGTGGCATCATCTTCCTAATGTGTCATGCTGTGCAAGCTGGTATAGTGCACTATACCAGCTTAGATGAACAGAATGGAACATGTAGATACTTATATATAACATCTGTATATAGCAAATAAAAGCAAAAACAGTATGGTGGGAGGAGAAATTTGGCGAGTGAGGAGTTTTTGAGGGAGGGAGTGGTGGCGAGTGGCTGGCTGGCAGATGTGGCCATTCATCATCGCTTTTTGACTTGCATTATCAACTTAGTGGTTCATTATGGTGAACAAAACATGCAGATACTTATATATAACCTGTGTATATAGTGTAATAACCAACAAAGTATTTGTTCACTGTTTTATGAACATAATAGTTGAATCGATAATATGCACACCATAATTCTGAGTACAGCGATGATTCACACATTTTATTATATAAATTATCACACTACACACAATTGAATAATATTACAACGAAAAGACGAAGAAAAAATCAATCGGAGACATTGAAATAATTAGATAATTATATCTTTGTGGCAACCCCCCTACCTGACAGCTTCGGCGAAGCAGAACTTCCCTGATACCTGCCGAGTCAGCGCCTGTTTTTTGCCAGATTTCCCCAACCTATTGGGGCCAAAATACGACACTTACGATTTTTTTAATTTGTTTCCCATGATTAGGGAACACAAATTAACAGGACTGCGACTCCTGGTTCAACCTTGACGACGAGATGACCCCTGGACGACACCTCCGCCTAAGGGCCGCCGGATCACGTTCTGTTTTCGCGTTTTGGATTTGCTACTGTCGTTTGGCATTCTTCGGTCCTGTTGTAAGACGCCAGGCATACATATCGTCTTAGGTCACGGGATTGACGATAATTTTTTTTTGACGTGTTCTGGCTGGTTCTTCTGGCGAAGTGACAGTGTCTGGCGCCGGCTTGGCTGAGAGGTGCCAGGGGTTGGTGGGTCTTGGTGGGCTCCAGGTGTGCCCTCAGCCGTGGTGGGTGGCTGGCTTCTGCACTGCCGGGGGGGCACTGGATGACTTTTGCATTTTAGTTGGAGGCAGAGTTTTGGTTTTGCTACCCAGTGTTCTCTGTGTGGGGTGGGGTCAGTGCCCTCCCTATAGTTGTCACTCCCTCAGTTATATAGTTGTCTCGCCTTCCCTATGGTTGTCACCTTGAGGGACTCCTGGGGCTCCCCCAATCATCTACCCGTTTGGGTTTCTCTGCCGCGAGTCATATTAGTTTCAAGTGCTTGGCGTCACTCGTTTCGCGATTAGGCTTGGCGTTTCACCTTTCCGGACTTCGTGATTAACCCATCACGGGTATGCCGGGGCGCATCCGATCCCACGATCGTTGCCGCCCTTAAATCAACAACAAATTAACAGGTTAAGAAGAATTTTTTTTTCTTTATGCGCCTGTGGGTGACAAAGGCCAAATAGCCCTTAGCAACACAAGGGTTAAAAAACAGTTTAGCAATTATATAAATCTTTGAATTTATATTTTTTTTTGTGTATCAAAGGTCTCATTCCTGGTAAATACTAGATCTAGTATTGATGGAACATCCCTTCCCTCATTCTCATTGGTCGTTTAACATGCCGATACATGACTGCCTCTAGGAAGATCACGAATCTGCCAGATCAGAAATCTTACGTCTTATCCCAAGCTTTGCAGTCTATTGTTTTCATGCTAAAGTTTCCAAGTACCATCCATCATGCTTTATCCTGGTTGATACCTGGTTCATCTAGAGTGGTACTAGGCACTCTAGGCAGTTGTAAATGTACTGAACTCTAGGCAGTTGTAAATGTTGTGATGCAAAGTACCTAGTACTAGTACTAGGCAATCCTTATCTGCTTTAACATCATCTTACTCAAATTCATTGCAAGCCCTCTCATTTGTTGTCCATTTCTTCCTTTGTCTATGCGCTGGCAGATTGTAGACACTGAGACAAGTTCTTCATCTTTCTGTTGGTGTATCTCTAGTACCACTGTCTACATCCCACGGGGTTGTAAAAGAAATAATCCTTAACATTTAAACATCTTCACTAACACAGCAGCAACACCTTGTCTTATTTCTATCTTGTCTTCAGACTTCATATTCCCTCAGGAATAGTACTTCACTTGCAAATGATTCTTCCAGTTTAATCGCAACCAGAGACACTGTCAGGGATCTTCAACCATATTATATCCTGGAACTCCAATATTTTATCTTGCTCCATCAATATTTGTACACAAGATTTTTAGGAATCTGTTACCTCCATTATTTCTTTCTCCCTTCCCTAGTGCCTTGCTGCCTATCCTTTATGTTCCACTTTACTGGCTTGTGACTCCTATCACCTTCTGTCCTCATTTAACCCCTTTTGCATCATTGAGGTTTCAGCTCTTCCCTATCACACCTTGAGAGGCATCTCCTTATTGGAGGGTTTCCATCATTTTGTAATATCTGAAGCATTTCTGTCTAGTGTTTCACTCTATTTAGTAGTTTAATGACCAATTCTTACCTTTTTCACAGAATTTATTCTTCTATAATCACTAACCTTTTTTGTTGCAAGGCATTCTCCTAATCTACTATTTTATAAATTTTTGCCTCTTCTGCAGCTCTGTTCACTCTAGATGAATCAGTAATTTCATCTATTCATAAAGGAAAATATTCTGGACTCTGATCTGTTTTGCAAGCTTGGCAATAATTACTTATTGAATGCATTCATTCACAATCATTCTTGAGTCATTTTTAAACAACTTGCATTTACAATTGCCTCAATTACTGCCTTCATTTTTTTCTATTTCTTCAACTATTTTCAGAGTCAACCTAAAATAAAATAAGATATGCAAGTTGTTGGGTCTCTCTTCAGTAATAGTTTCTTGATCTCAATGGTTAAAGATGGAGGTTACTTTGTCCACAATGTGACCATCTTAACTATCTTAATTTCCATCAGCTCTTGACAATCATTTGTTCTCAATTTGATTCTACACATTACCAACTGTATCTATCCAACTTTCTAGTTTTCTTAAGAAGCACATTCTCTCCATGCACATTTGATCAATCATTTAGTGTGATGAAAGTCGTGTTGTATCATGCATTTCCTAATGCATTTTTAACAAATATCAAAAACTGTGTAACAAGGGTTCTGAGGGCATGACTTCCCCTGTCCACTGAAGAAGGCACGGGAACCACAGAATGTCCAGGATACTTGAGATCAGTGAAACCATAGAAACTATTGCATCTAGTGTAAGTGAAAGCCTACTGTTAAATTTGTCCATATTCAAATGGCAAATTAATTCACTTGAAGGAGTGTAGTGATTACTGAGAATGATGACAGACAGGTGAGACCCCCCAATTTAAAATTTCCAACATCATATGGAAAGCTAATACACAGTACATGGTAGTTCAGGTGAAATTCAAGATCAAGTGGAAACTGCATCTTCTTTAATGAACAAAAATTATAAATAGAAATTGCAGAACTTAAAAGAAATGGCAAATATTTTCGTTAGGAAACTTACTTGTGTTGTCACTACTTTAAATATTACTGTATATTAATTACCGTTTCATGTTTACACTACAAACTAAGCATTCAACTGGCTGACACAGCAGGGAGTTGGAATAGTGTTAAATAATAATTGTACTGTGTTTCTTGATGAAGGAGGGATCAGTTGGATCATCATTTGGCAGAGGTATTGCTCTTTTCCACTTAAGCATCAAAACCTCTGGTCAACCCTGTGGAGCCCTTCAACCTCCTCCCTCCCCTTTAGATCTGCCACTGCTAAGAAAATATTTAACCATACCAAAACATTTAGTGAATATACAGTACAAAGCATTAAAGCATTATTATGCACATGATTGTCAGAGTTTGTTAATCAGAATATGAATCATTTAGAATTACTGCAAAGAGTAAATACCTTGATAAAAATGGTAAAATGACCACCAAAGTGCAGAGTTTGGGACATAAGCACATATAGATGCCATGTAGCCTCGATAAAATCCTTTAAGCCCATCTTTTCTATATAATGTTCTTACTATATTTAATGCAATCTGAAAAATAAACAAAATTAAGTAAATGGTTCACAAGAGAACTTAGGTACAAGCAAACAATGTTCTGGTAAAGGTTTTTTTGGAATTAAATTAATGGATAGCTAGGAATTCTTTATAAAAAAAAATAGGCAATGTAATGAAATGCCTCTTTCTGGTGGGTATTTGATGGCTCCCTGTTACTAGCAACCTGAATAGCTCCACCCAATTCAAATGCCACCAGGCCCTTGGCTAGTCACTGTAAACCTACTGAAGATCAGAACCCAAGACCTGTAATCAACAGTCAAAGAAACTTGATCACTCAGACTGAGAAAGACCACCAGAATGGAAGAGTGAAACAAAACAGACAAAAGCATGGTAAACTAAATACCAAACATGATCCACTCAGTAGTTAGGCAGCTCACCCTCCAGTAGTAGCTGTCCACCACAAGATGGCACCACCCCCAACTACAGAGTCTGCAGTCATCAGTCATTGAGCCAGGAAAGATTAAAACCAACACCCCTGGAAGTGAGAGGGAGAGTCCAGGAAGCCACCGAGGACCCACAAAAAGAGGTACAGGTACTGCATTTCATTACATTCAATACTGGTTTCCTGTGAGGGTTCCTATAATGGCTCCCTGTTGCTATCTCGTCATGAGGAACAAAACCAAAATGGGAACTTGTGGCCTCGTAGTACTGAAGCCCCTCACACCCAGGAGGGGTGCCCCAAATTTTTTTACCAGATGGCATCTGGGAAAGAAACAGTAAACAGATGGCATCTGTTTACCAGAGGCCTGAGGAAGCAGGTGAGAGCTCTATGTACCCGTGTGACTTTTTTTTTTTTAATCTTACGAGGTGCTTTAAAACATCTCTCACCGATATGCATAGTGGGGTCAGAAATGGCAAGAACTTTCCTGAGCAACACATGCATTTCAAGGGTTATAAATGAGAGATCCTGATCCTGAAGGAGGAACTGAAATAGAGCTGGCTGCACCACTGACGGCAAATAATGAGAATATAGAACCCAAGTAACCTGAAAGTGAACGTGGGAGGAGCCACCAAGGAATCCATCTCAAATAATGAAGGGGGTTATGACACACCCTTCTGCATTTCAGAATATCCTTCCCAAGAGGAAACCAATTACCTGTCTTGTAGAAAAGATACCAAGTTACTGAACTCTGGGTTTCCCCCAGCTCAAGAAACTCCAGGAATGGGAAGCACTAGTGCAGAGACGAGATCCACACCAGTCGGAGACAAAGAAGTCTCCCCACAAGGAAGAATTGGTGGTAGGAACACCCTCCTGAAAAACAGAAGGGAATGCATACCCCACAGGAAGGAGAGGCACAACTACCTTCACTGTTGAGATGGAAGAGGTAATCCTCAAGAGAAGGCCCACACACCTGAAGAACCACCACCTCTAGACTCAAATCCACAGGATGTTTCAGGACTGGGAGCAAAGGAGGCAGCCTCCCAGCCCTCCCTAACACCACCAGTTGAACCTGGAGGAGGAGATGGAGTCTTTGGAAGGAAGCTTGGCCAAAATGAACCCAACAATGATAAACATCACAAGGCCCCTGGTGGTAAGTATCCCCCATCCAGCAGGCAGTATGATGGAAACAGTAACAATGATCATCGGAATAGATAAAAACCGAGGCACATCCTTCAAAACTCTCACCCTGTGAAGGCAGAATCTGAGGGTTTGTTGTCCACAAAAAAAACTCTTGAGAACTGCAAAGGGTTTTCCTAGACACGTAGGAAAGACAAAATAGGAACACTAAGCACAGGAGCGGCTCACCGAATATTGCAAACACCAAAAAACAGCCCATGGAAAAAAAAAGATTGTTAAGGGTGTTAGCAGTGTACATGGAACAAGCAAGTGAATTTATTGTTGTCTAAGTGTTGAACAAGCAAGTCTGACCCCATTCAAAAGGCCTTGCAGACACTTCTAAAACCCCTACATTACCAAGGGCACGGCTCCTTCCAACATGAAGACAGCCCACCAGAAAAAAAGTGGCTAGAAGGGCAACAGCAAACACCCAATGACTAAAATAAGGAAAGAGAATGGAACTATTAGGAGGAAGCACCATACAACTATATAGCACTCAGAAGGGACCAGGATAAGGATTTGGGATGGAACGAGGGGACTATAACAAGATTCATGCAGTTTGAGAAAAACCAGCTGATCATAGTCCATACAGAAATGATGCATAAATATACCTGCTTGAGACAAATAGTAAAATACACAAGCAAATGACCCCTGTAGGACAGAACCACCATCTAGGATGGACAGCACTTAACTAGGACCTGATGGGCACTGGGCTAGGAAGAGGAGTGAAACATTGATCATACATAATGCTCATGCTAGCCCTTATGGCTAAAGGGGTAGTGTGAGGGTTCAAGAAGGTGCACATTTTCCTAGTGAAGTAACAGGTGAAAAATAACCCGAGAATTGCTTCACCACAAATGATCAGCGAGTCTCAGGACTTAGCTATCCCATTTTCTATAATTTGTTTACCTTGCTGTTTGTTTAGCTTCTCCTCCTTACTGGTGGGATTTTCATGGTTAGGGTGATTTACAATCTCCTGCTCCTTGTGCCTCTATTGTGGATCAGGTTTTAGTCTGGTTCTCAGTAGGTTTATTTATAACTTAAGGGCCAGGCATGGATTGAACTGGGTGGAGCTTACCAGGCAGCAAGCACCAAGGAGCCCTTCCAGAAAAACTCCCTACAAGTAGATCAGTGGAGAGCCTCAATAGAAAATATCTCCAAAGGAAAGGATATGCATCAGACTCCCCCCCCCCCATCCCACCCAGGAACAGAAAACCATGGATCCTTGATGGGAAGTTACAGTTCAACTACCTCCACCACTGATGAGAAAGGGGTAATACTGTACCCTAAGGAGTCCCCACCTTGCCCAGATAAACACAAACCCCAGGCTCTGAAACCTTCAGATGCTTTAGTAAGAGCCATCGTAAGAGCCCTCCCAAAACAGACAAGTTTTGATCATAATATATCAAGAAAAACCAAACAATAAAAATCTCAGCATACATAGTGCTGTAGCAAGTACATGGAATGCACTGATTGTAACGAATACAGGAAGTAGCATTTTGTAATGAGTATAATATGCTGCTACTGTAAAAGGCGGGTGGTTATAAATTGGCAAGTTTGCACTTCGGAGACACGTGATTTGTTGTTTTTAGGGCTCTTCGTGCAGTCTCATTTCTGGTAAAATGTTTTGATATTTTGGTAGGCACTTAAACATCTAGCATTTCTGCGGACGATGAGTCATAATAAAGTGGCTGAAGATAACAGGGTTGTTGATTTGTGGAACCAATTACAGCGTAACGTGATTGAAGTGGGGCCCCTTGATCGTTTCAAGTGTGGGTTGGACATGTATGAGTGGGATTAGGTGGTCATAAATAAGAGCTGCCTCGTATGGACCAATAGGCCTTCTGCAGTTACCTGTATTCTTATGTTCTTAAGATTTGATGACCAAACCACACCCGTTAAATGCAGAAATGACACTTCGGTCCATCCTGGACCATCATCAAATCATGTAATAGGAGAGAGGAAGGGACAAGCAAATAAATAAGGTGACAGTGAGACGAAGTGAGGAGCAGGTCAGAGAAAAATGTAAGAATAAGAAAAGCGGTAAGAATATAAGTGGCAATCCTTAAGTCAGTTCATGTTTGTTAAGGTGGTTAGATCATTTAAGTATGTACTGTGAAAGGGCAGTCAACAGCAACAAAGCTAGCAATTCTGCTTAGAGGCCAGTTCAGTTAGGAAGGCCTCTGATACAGTGCTTCAGGGACATTTCTCTACTGGTTGGGTTAAGATGTCTTTCACCACCCAATTCAGAACCTAATCTGCTACTCCTATATCCTGAGCATTCCATGGAATCTTTTTTTGTACACATTAGTAAATCTTTTATTGAATTCTTTTACTATTTTTTACGGTCTCATTTGATCAGCAGCTCTAGGGTTTTGGTATCTCTATTCACGTTGTTGTGGCCTTGGTTGACGAAGCCCTGAGGCCAGCATTTGTTTTTGGGCAGGCCTGTGGATTTTGTCCTTTGCCTATATTTCTTGCATACCAGGCACTGTTGCTGGTAAAGGTTCCACCATTCCCTAGGAGGGGCCTGGGTACAGGCAACCTAACCTAGCTACATAATCATTTCCTTATATCCAACAACCAGTCATCACATCTTTTCAGACATACACAATGCAAACACTTCAACAAACTAAATATCCAGATATCCTTGGGTTTATAAATTCCTTGTCTTTAATTATACTTTTTACCAGTTACACTAGTTTTTTCACAATAAAAAAACAAAGGATGACTATTAGCAAGACATATCCACCTCATGCCGCAATACACTATCCCCATTGTCCAGCTAAGACGTATTCTTTCACAATTCATGAGAAGACTTTCTCCTTCACTAGGGCACTCCTAGCTTCCTTGACACACAACCAAGCATTATCTTGACAAGTTTTTCCCATTTCCCCTTATATTGAAGAAATACCATTATGAGAGGGTCAGTACCACGACAGGAATCTTTAAACACTGCAGCTACATTTTGTTTTCTCACCCTATCCCTATCTTGCACCCACTATTGTAAACTGATTCCCTTCAAAATTGCCCAACCCCTTAGGCTGGACAGAAGAGCAATGGTCTCGCTTCATGCAGGTCGGCGTTCAATTGTAACGGTCATGGTACTGACCATTTGCTCCTTTTCCCTTCCCATTACCCCCCCATATTATCTCCCTTGTTCACTCCCACCCCTCCCCTTATTTCCTTCCCCTTCCTCCCCTACCTTGCCTTTCTCTCCATCTCCTGCCATACGGTTGGAGTCAAGTGTCTTTAGGTAAGGAAAATTGTCTGAGGTCCTATAGTCCCCTTTATCCCCTCTTCCCCACTTCTCCTCTCCAGCCCTCTTCCCCTTTCACCTTCCCCCCCCCCCCTTAGCTATGACAGTTTGGAACATTATTCAACCATTTCTATAAACATACTGGCCGTTGGGCAAGGTCTGGGGTTTGTCATGGAAAAGAAAGAGACCTTGTTTCCCCTGGCAGCTGGTAGAGATGACAATTCTACGGGCATGAAATGTACCTTTTCAGGCAGGCCAGGCTGGGTGACCTGAATGGTGATTGGTTGGAGATAGGTGCCAGGCCCTTACTGGCTAGAAGTGCCAGGGGCCCAAGCCTAGTTGTGAAATGGTTGGCAGTAGCCCAAAATGATGATGGGCTACTGGATTCTGGGCCCAGGATTCTGTAGAATTGTGGGAGGAGCCATCCTCCACTTGAAGGATGGGGAGTAAAAGATTTTAAATGTGTACTGGGAGTGTGACTGGAGTGGTGAACTTGGATAGGTCCAGGGGACCTAGGGAGGCTGTCAACATCTGTGGCTGGTAATTACAGAGAAGGTAATGTGCTATCTTGATTGTGCATTTCAATTCACACCAGTTGCCTCGTAGGATGTATTAAGAGTTAGGATATATTTTGTGTCATTTATTTAAATAAAGTCATTATTGATTTATTTTGTTGTTTAGCTAATTTCCCCTGTAATTATCTTTGAGTTATTAATTCTTATTTCCATGCTGTATTGGAAGTTCCCTGTGTTCTCTCTTAAATGGTAATTAAAGATGTTCCCTAATTCTCAGTAATAATATTAAAGCACTTATAAATAAATTTCCAAGATTAATCTCCAATTATCCTACGTCATAGAGGTATTATTATTGACCTCTGGCTTTCCTGGGAGGTAAATAATTGCAGTCACATTCATTGTCCGATAGGGGAGTGGTGGCAGTGTTTAAGTTAGGCATTATTAATTATTAGTCATAACCCCAGTTGTATTCCCCCCCTAATTAATATTTCAGTTTAATAGAGCTGGTGAGTTCAGTAAGGGTCAAAGTAAGCTTGGTAAGCTGTGTTAAACTGGGGTTTTAATTGGGAAAGTGGAGTACAATATGGAGGGGTTACACAATCCCCGACCGTCCACGTGGTTGGGCACCATTCCTTTCCGCTGTCCCTTCTCAAATCATTATCCTGACACCTTCCAAGTGCTATATATTCATAATGGCTTGGCACTTTTCCCTGATAATTCCCTCTTCTTCCTTCAAAATCATGACTACTGTACTGTACCAATACATCCAGCTCCTATGACATTCAGAGCTACAGTAAAGCTTTCTGTTCACATGAATTAATCCCACAGCTCAGAGAAAAAGCATTCTTCCTCCTGATTGGTTATGAACTTATCTGCCATTACCAATCAAAAACCAATATGCTGTTACTATTTCCCAACTAGCCAATACACAACTGATGAAACCAAGTAATGTTCCAAAAGGTTGCAAGCCTCCATACTGCTTATACATAATACTGTATAACAAATTCTACAAAATTATAAAAATAAACATCCTATCACCTATTTATGTATGTCAAGTCTTGCCTATATGCTTTTAAAAGGTAGGATGCTACCCCTAGTAATAGTATCAACCTTATTTAGTTTGCATGCTATATCCAGGAAAAAATTAATACTTTACTGCAATATTTAAAACCTTTCTTATATAAAAATAATCTGAACTTTACTTTGATAATTTAAGATTATTGCTGCTATTGAACATATGAATTCATGTCTCCCTGGAATGTTTAAAACAAATTCCACAGATAACAATACGATACCTGCAGTTTTTGTCGACCATGATAGTCAATGTTGAGGGGGTTTACGATGACCTTTGATTTTCCATGACCTTCCATTTGTCCCAAAACCATCATATGTTGAGAGATAACATCAAAAGGGACAATGATTGTCTGGCCCACCACGGAGGCACATCCACCCCCAATTAATGCCCTGACCCGTGAGTCATGAACGCCACGTTGCTGGAGGAACGTACGAACATTCTCATAGGTGGTGATGTAAAAGATTCCTGAGACTAGCTGAAAGGCACTTACCCAGAAACCTTTATAAAGTCCACCCAAACCTGTTGAAAAAGTAGCTATGAATTTCTGCATGTGATATTCATCTTTATAATTACATACCAGAGGAAGCAGCTATTAATTTCCAAAGATAATTTAAAATTAATCAACTTTTAATCAAACATGCTATATACTGTACCTATGTTTTATAATACAGTACTGCAGAGTTTACTCTTTAGGCTGCAGAGGATCATATCATTATTTTACCAATAGTGTCCACTGCAAGCATCATAATACAGGATTATGTTTGCAGGGAGTAACACCTCTATAAATAGATGGCTCTAACTCAAGTAAAGTTTTTGAAACAATCTTAATTTTCATTGGTATAAATAACAATTATTTTTGTAAATACTGTATTAAATAAAATGTTAATGATTAGGATAAAAAAAAACCACACCCGTGTATTTGTGAAATTTATGTAAGGAATTTACACCATTTTTTGGGTGTAAATTTTTGGTGTAAATTCCTTACATAAATTTCACAAATACAAAAGTGTGGGTTTTTATCCTATGTTATTATGGCTGTGAGAAGACATTACCATTACTTATATTATTAATTGTTTTCTAATACAGTATTAGAGAATATATTTGATTTACCTTACTGTTTATAAACTACTGTACTGGGTACAGTACAATTCTTCCTATGTAATAATGAGCAAGCACAACATTCTAATCTAGTTACTTGATTTTTCCATTGTAACAAACCACAAACTCTTAGTGCCAGCTTCTTATTACCATAATAACTAATGACACTTGCAATCATATTCACTAATCATTAACAACACCTATAATTATTATTATATTATAATATATAATTATACATTTTTATACATACATTAATTACACACATATGTAATACATACATTAATTACACACCTATAATATATTATTATACATTTTCCCGAACATTTCCATAACTCATTAAGTAAAGCCAAAAGAAACTAACGAGTTTCCGATCAGGCCAAATGAAGATCAACTTGCCAAATAAGTTGAGAAACTGTCCAACACAAGGTCAGGTGAAGTGTGGATATAAGCCAACCAGAAACAAAACTTCATCAGTAACTCCACCAGTGATTCAGTGACAAATGCTCAGGATATATTGCAGATCTTCAACACCATCAATATTTGTCAGCATATGAATGCAACACAGTCGAGTTCCAACCCCCACAGACACTACAAGACTTTATACACCATAGACAGCCACTCCCAGCTGCATTCGAGCTACCTGTTCTCACCCCCCTTATCCTAGCTCTTCGATCCTGCCCTCCTTCGAGCTCTCTAACCCCTAGCTATGTTCAAGCTCTGTTCTTGGCTCTAGGCCTTGCACAAGCTCTCTGTCTCTGGCCACCTTCAGCACTACATCCTATCTGACTATGCCAGCAGCACGTAATAAGCACCCTCCTCTCAACCTATAACACGTCGTATAATTGCTAACGTCCATCAGCTGTAGACAAAACTGTATTAAATAAACTTAAAAACTATTATATTATTTGAATGTTGTTACCCAAAATTGTAAACGTTATGCCATCAACCAGAATTTATTCTCCGAAGCCATTCACAATGTTTGCTAATTAGAACAAGTTCTGGTAAAGTCAACTTAATTTAAACCCAGTACAGTGCATTTAGGTTATATAATCATAATATTTAAAAGGAAAGTGTCAAGGGCAATGAAACTCCTTTTCCTGGGTTGCATGTCAGTAGCAACCGAGGTGCTGAGATACCTCTCGTCTCCTTTAGAAAGGAGACAAGAGAGGTATCAAACAATATACATGGAAAATACTGGAGGGAAAGGTCTTAATTGACACAGTAAAATAACAACATACTGGAGTGAATATGGAAGGAAATGCAGAACTAAGCCAGTGAAGAACAGAGGTGCCATGGGTACAATCCAGAGAACACTGCATCAACTTTATAGGTCAAAGATTGTTCAAAATCCTCCCAGTGAGCATAAGAAATATTGTCAGAACAAACATTGATGTCTAAAAGAAAACTGGATAGTTTTCTTCAAGAAATGCCAGACCAACCCGGCTGTAGTGGATATGTGGGCCTCAGGACTGCTCCAAACAACAGGCTGTTGGACCAAGCTCTCACAGGTCAAGGGAAGTAGAACTCCCAGAACCCAAACAATATATGACCAAAGTATTCTAATCCCTCCCTTTGTCAAAGATGAATAATAATTTACCTTTAATGAAAGTCTGATGGACAAAAAGGTTTAACAAGCCTTAGTAATATTTAAGTGTATGGCAATTAAACAATGCACTTGCTCATGGGAAGAACCATACTTCTTATGTAGGGGTGGGTAAAATATTTATTAGAATTAAATCATGATGATGAGCACCAGACTATTACAGTACACCTGCACTACTAAGAAGAGTACTTATGAGAATATAAACATTATCAAAAGGAAAAATTGAATTACTGTACATACCTTCATATTTAAATATCTTCTGGAATGCATCAAATGTGCCCTTGTAGACTTCATTGTGCCTCTGGATCTGGATACGTGTCTTTATGACAGTGAATGGATAGAGCATACATCGCACAGAAAAAGAGCTCAGCATTGACAACGGAAAAAATTTTTGCTTGTTCATCATATCCCATTCAATAGTCTGGATGTATTGGCCACTGCCATCAATATTTGGCACACCAAGAGATTCCATGGTTCTTTGTGATAAGAGCACCATGAGATATCCTCCACTATACTCAGTACTGTAGTGCTACATTCCCCCAGCAACAACAAGATGGTTGGTTACACACATACTTGTACAAAGTTCTGATGTTTAAATTAAAAATCTGTATCTGAAGTTTGGAAGCCATAACCTGTTTTCACAAGCGTAAATGCTCTTTCAGCATTAAGTACTGCTATATTTTCAAATACTGTAGTTGAAATTTATTGTATTTCTTATTTAACTTTTAGTAACTAATGAACAACACTAAATAAAAGATTTTAAAACCATTAAATATATAAACATAGTATAATGTGCATATTTTTCATTAAATAGAACATTTTGATCAAGTATTTAAAGGCAACATCAACAAAATCATTTGACAAGGTGTTATTACTATTACTTCATAATATTTATTTATTTCCTTGTAAAATATTTATAGTTTTTGAGAGAGTTGAAAGTTTCAGAATCCACTCCTATTGTCTCCCATCTTTTATTTAATGCCTCTTTATGATTTAGCTTTTGTATGTTTCAAGGAACTGCAGCCCCAAAGTCTGATTTTAAGGCCATACAAATGCAAGGTTTCTCCATTAGAGATATCATGAAAACTTGACCAGTCCTGGCTCTCATGATTGAATCAAGTGGTATTCTTGAGAGATCAAGAGCAAGGCACAAAAATACTAAGAGTAACACAAACTTAAATTCATGATAAATTTCTTCACATCTTTTGTTGCTGATGCAAAATGCTTCTGGGCACACATTGCTTGAGTTTCACACACACAATCTGAAATGAAAACATTAATATTTAAATGTAATTATTAATTATGTTGGGGAACAGGAAACCAGAGTATACAGTACTATACATGTTAGGTTTATAACGCGGTCCCAAAGTCGAACTACTGACCTTTCCCAGGATGCAATCCTACAACAAGCTAACTCCTAGGTACCCATTTACTACTAGGTGAACAGGTCCCATTAGGTGACAGGAAATGCACCAAACTATTTCTGACCCTCCAGGGATTCAAACCCAAAACTCCCCATAGTTTGTTGAAAACAAACCCTACTCTACTTTAAAGGGGAAATTTTGCCTACTTCTTATCTATTCATAGTTATACTTGCAAAGCACAGTGAAAAATACTCTACCGTATATCAATACAGTTTCTGCGATGCTTTTCTATCCTTCAAATAAAGAAACTAATCTGGGTGCAGGGCAACAAGTTAAGGATATAAACTGCAAAAAGTGTCCATCTTGTCCAACAAAATTGGGCCTATTACCTTTTTGACAAGATGCAGAGAAATGATGAAGCTAGAAACCAAGAAAGGCAACAACTGGAAATTACAGTACCAATATTTTCAGTTATGCAATCAGTAATATTTGGAACCCTTTCTTTTTATTTCTTTCTTTCTTTCTTTCTTTTCTATTAAAGTATGATATAAAATGTCAATATGTTCATAGGCATCAGATGGGTTAAGATCAGCACTAAATGTGCAACTTTGAGAAGCCTCATCCATGGGCTAGTAAGCCTCTTCCTGCTTCAGACTATCATACAACTCAAGCACGTTTCCCCCCCCCCCCATTTTTTTTAAATAGGAAAAAATTCTTACATGCAGTACTCGGAAAATATACATTCCCCAATATTTATTATTCTATTCATAATCGGGGAACAGCAGCAGCATGAAATTTGGCCCCTTTGTTTTAAGATGAGTTGCATACATAACTATTCCTATCCACTCATTACCAGCAACCGAATTTTAATAAAATCTGAATTTATTTAACCAGTTAAAAAAACAGGCTAAGTTAGCAACTATTCTATCATGAATAAAGAATTTAATTATTCTTCTAATAATTAAAAGAGCTTAATTAAAGTGTAAAGGTGTACACTTTACATGGGTAAAATATTAACTATGCCAAGTATTTTTCTATATACTCTAATGTTGTGGCCTTCATGACATGTATTTATGCACAGAAAAGTCCAATTTACAAGCTTGAAAGATTTTATATTACAGGTATTTTTAATTGCTACACAGTACTGGTATTTAAATTTTCTCGCATTTGTTTTGCACTCTTAGTTCTTATAACAATTTACACCTTATTACAGATTTCAGGAATGAGAATACTGTAATTTGTAATAAGTAATTATTAGGACAAAGCACTAAGCCAGGATGATTAAGTGACTTAAAATAGATAGGACAGGAAAAGAAACGTGTCCAATCCAATCCCTTAGACCATCCTGGGTCAAACTCCAACTTTAAAGAGTCAAGGATGTCTCTGTATGGACCAGTCCTGTGACCAACTAATATGAAGGAAGAACGCTTGCCAATTTTTGGCAAGCGTTCTTCCAAAATTGGCTTGCCAATTTTTGTGCCGAGAGATTTCATTCTACTGCTAAATGCTGATATTTTTTACCAGATACTGGGGTCTGCTTTAAAGACCAGACGACCTAGTTGAATATTACTCTACTTTGAAATGTTTCTCAACACAGAGGGCAACAAATGAAAAACTGCACACCTTAGAATCATGCAGCATTTCTCAACTTTTGTACCCTTGAAATAATTCCAGATCGTATTTTAGATAAACCCACTGATTTCATTCTCAACCGAAAGGAAATTATTTGTCTTTGATTTTAATACTGGTTAAATTATAAAAATAAAACAAAAATTACTCAAAAGTACATTTGCATGTGATTAGAATTAGCCTATTTATCACTATCTCTTGCAGATCCCCTAGTTATATTGGGTTCCACAGAACCCTGGTTGAAAAACTCTGCCCAGCTTAGAGCAAAGAACCCCCAAAACTAAAGGATGGTCAGAGGTAGTAGGTATGCTCAGTGCCTTAAAAGAAAACACACTATAAAGTTGTAAGCCACAAAAATCCACCTCTATATTTGGTAGGGAACCCATCACAATCCAGTCAATAAAGAAATGATGTGAACAATTTCTCAGATGCATTTGAACTAGCTGACCAGGTCAATAACATTAGCTTTCTGATTCCACTAAAGCACGTCATCCATACTCCTCCAGGAAACGTTTCCAATGATGCATCTCTAAATTCCCGAAAGTAACTTGTTTATTTTTTTTTTTAACCAATTTATCAAAGGCTCAACAAAAGTATCAGGGAATCACCCAAAGATTACCTTGGCTATCACTCAAGACAGTATTAAAATCACTCATCCCTTATGTAAGTTACTTACTGGTTACAGACTGTACATCAGGTCAACTGTCCCAGGTCAGCGTCTGGGATGATCTCAGACATAGGTTCGAATCCTCGTCACGGCCATTGTGGATTTGTTCATTTGATACATCATACTATTGTGATTTCTGTGTACTTCAGGTCATTCTCAAATCCATTAAAATGTGTAACTAGTATATTTGAGATATATACAAAAGTTGTTACATTCTTGTACAGCCACTAGTATGCGTAGCGTTTTGGGCAGGTCCCTGGAATACGATCCCCGTCGCGAAGAATCATTGTTACAACCAAGTACACATTTTACTGTTGAGTTAAACAGAGGCTACAGTTAAGGATTTGCGCCCAGTAAATCCTCCCCGGCCAGGATACGAACCCATGACAAAGCGCTCGTGGAATGCCAGGCGAGTGCCTTACCACTACACCACGGAGACTGGAAGATTTCATTTGACAATATCAAGACTTCATTTGCTTAGCTAAATGAATTTTGGGGTTCAGGTCCTGAACCTATATTTACCTGAATTTACCCGAGGAACACTAACACAAGTGGTATCAAAGAGCACAGGAAGCCAGCGGCTTGTCAAAGGTCCCCTACATTATATGTCTAACGTTTTCCGGGAAGGCATAGAGTGCATATTGAATGAACTAAACTAACTGCTACAGCCCCACCCACCCCTTACAAACACTGCACCTCCTCACTGACCGTCTCCAACACTTACAATCTACTGTAGCAGGAATTGTTGTAAAGTCCTGTGTAACTCGTACCATGAAGCGTACATTGTTTCAGTCTTCAGTGTGACTCTCAGCAAAATAGTTCCCTTCCCTAACTTCGTCAGCGGCTTTATTTCTTAATAGTTAGCAACCAGAGACGAAACCATACCCGGAGGGTAGCGAGGGCCAGAGAGTGCAGTAAATCTAACCAGCCACAAGTGTCCTTTCCGACTGGCAGCCTCCATCAGACGACCCCTGTGTTCCGACCCATCACCGCAAACCTGTTTCCCAAAATTATTACGCCTATTTATCTATTGAACTGCAATGTTCACATTCAGTTTGCATGATAGTAGTAGTATTCAGTTTCTGTAGTAGAAGTATTCTTTTTATAATATCCTTATGACTAATATTAGTACTAACTTTTGAATAATGACAAGGGATTCAGACTCGGTCCTCATCGTTTTGATCAGCTGTTACTAGGTTCATATGTTTGATATTGTTTTTTTAATTATGGACCTTATATTTTATCCAGCTTTATTTATGTTAATTATCGATGCATAATTCATTATGTAGAAGGACCAGATTTCGTAATCGTATATTAACTGCGTTTGTGAATACCGTCATCTGCAGGTGAAAACAATTACACCATTAGAAGCGGGCCCGAGAGCACGATGACGTAATAATGGTATATTATTATCATTGGTTCAGGGGAATGTATAAAAGTCTCAAGTTAAAGTCAACCCATCTTAGTCACTCCCTATGTTTCTTTTTTTAGATGCTCACACATCGTCCATTGCTATGACGTCCATTTGCATGATGAACAATGCAATAGAGGTGAAATATTTGCATGTCTGTTCATGTGTACAAGTCTCCAGACTTGATACATTAATTGGAAGTGACTCCTTATCATCCTTAATTGCTCTCAACTCTCTAAGACATAACTGTAACATGCTCGTGTCCGAAGCTAGACACAAAGTTAGTAGTTTAGTTCATTTATTATGCACCCCATACCCATCTTGTGGGCGGTAGTGGAAAGGGTTACAGAGGCACATAATGGGCTCAGGGACTGAACCCCACAATTCATTTAGCTAAGCAAGTTACAATCTTGATGAGCTAGTTACAAAATTCAATATAAATCGTCACATCAACAATGGGTTCGAGATCGACCTCAAGTACAGGTTCTAAATTAAGCAACTGACATGTGGAGAGCTAGTGTCAAAATTTATATGTTTGTCCTGCACACCGCCCCCCATCCAGTGAGCAGCGGTGGATAGGTTACAATCACTCAGTTACACACAAATACAACAAAATTATTAATGATGGTAACAGAGTTCATTTCATGTGGTCTCCATCTCATGTTGGCCTCCGAATGCATGATAGAGTTGATAAGTTAGCCAAAGATTCTGCCTTTAAAGGAGACGATGAGTGTAACCTTGGATTGTCAATGAGCAATCTGAGAGAGAACTTCAACAAAATCTTGTAGATCTGAGGCAAAGTGAAATCGACACCAGTAATTCCATCTATCATCATACTATCATGCAAGAAATATGGTAAACATATTTCTCTGGGTTTGAAAATATTGTCAAGGCCTTGAAACCTTTTGATATACATGTATTGTTTAGCTACGAAAATACTGTTGGTAAACTATTAGTTAGAAACAGCCCTCGTAGTAATAATTGTGTCATTTATAAAATACCTTGTAAAGACTGTGATAGTTCTATGTTGGGCAAACATCTAAAGATTTGAAATGGAGAATTTCGCAACATAAACACTTTGTAAGACATGGCCAATTGTCTAATGCTTTGTTTGTTCCTTTGTGAGAAAATGCTCACCAAATTGATTGGGAGATGGCTTCTTCGATAACGAATTGTAAATTCACTTTTAACAGGAACATAATTGAATCCGCTTTAATACAGATTACAAAAGAATGTAATTTGAACATTAGCAGTGGTTTATATAACTTAGATCCATTCTTGATAGATCAATTAAAGGGCGATTTGAGTAGGATCATTGATACACATTTGTCTCACTAATTCATTGTAAATATTTACTATCTTATGCTATTATTATACATGTGTGGGCCTATTGGTAGGTATGAATGCCTTGCATGGGCCAATAGGTCTTCTGCAGTTCTTATGCGGCTCTTATTTGTTTCCACGTAATTCCCATTCATTTTTCATTGAACCTCACCTCACTTCATCTCTCTCCTGCCTATATATATGTCCAATACTTGACTTGTAAATCATTCCTTCTAAAGATGTATTAATATACGAAAGTACTTAAGGAAATTCCTGTTTCAGTTCTTCCTCCGTGGTTTGACTCACATTTTTCATCGCGTGTTAATTTTCGTGATTTACACACACACACACACACACACACACACACACACACACACACACACACACACTCAAGGAAGGAATCCTTGTAAGGAAGGATTCGTGTCAGGAATCGTTCAAGACCTTGTATACCACTTATGTCAGACCAATCCTGGAATATGCAGCTCCAGCCTGGAGTCCATACCTAGTTAAACACACGACGAAGTTAGAGAAGATTCAACGGTATGCCACCAGGCTCGTCCCGGAACTGAGAGTTATGAGCTACGAGGAAAGGCTAAGGGAGCTGAACCTTACGTCCCTGGAAAACAGAAGAGTAAGGGGAGACATGATAACCATCTACAAAATTCTCAGGGGAATTGACAGGGTGGACAAAGACAAATTCTTCAGCACGGGTGGGACACGAACAAGGGGACACAGGTGGAAACTTAGTACCCAGATGAGCCACAGAGACGTTAGAATGAATTTTTTCAGTGTCAGAGTAGTTAATAAATGGAATGCACTAGGCAGTGATGTGGTGGAGGCAGACTCCATACACAGTTTCAAATGTAGATATGATAGAGCCCAGTAGGCTCAGGAATCTGTACACCAGTTGACTGACAGTTGAGAGGCGGGACCAAAGAGACAAAGCTCAACCCCCGCAAGCACAATTAGGTGAGTACACACACATTATATATACTGTATATATATATATATATATATATATATATATATATATATATATATATATATATATATATATATATAT